GGGGGGGGGGTTGTGATTTTTTAATTCAGCCGTGTGTTAAAGGCTTACGTTGGCAGCCTCTCTGTACTGGCCTGCGGGTTGTACCCCGCCTAGGGAAGGGGCCGAGGTATATGTTTGTTAGAGAGGAGGGAGTTTGGTGAGTATTAATAGAAAGTTTTACGTGATTCAGATGCTGTCCACTTGCCGCAGAAACCTCTGAAAAGATTTAATTAGAAACTGGATTAAGGCCTGAGACCGTCTGCGAGCTCAGCTGGTAAATCCCTGGCACAACACGGTGGGTGCTCAGGGCACGTTTCAAGGCTGTAAGTACATTGCAAAGTTACTGAGGGCTGAAAATGCAAGAATATTAGCGTTCAAAGGTATATTTAAATTGTTTTGGGAGGATTAATAACATCCTGTAAAACTAAGAGCTCAAGTAGTACAACGTGTGATAATAAAGTATATGATAATGACCAAATTAAAATGACAGGCTAGATTTATTGCTAGATTGCAGTGACATAAAAATGTTAAAATAGGCCGTTGAGAATAGGAAGTGAGTTGTTTATTCTTTGAATAATAAAATACACACAGATGCTTTTTAAGCTTTTGTGAGTTGCCTGTTTTTTGTAAACATCCAGGTAGCTTAGTTATCTAGATGTTGTGTGACGTAGCAGAGGTCAAACATACGAGGAAAGATTGAGGACGTTATATTGAGATGTCTGTATAAATATGGAACTTGGGTGTTTTGATGAATAGGTAGCTAATTATCCAGATGTAGAGGTAATTGACACTCACAGTGATCATGTAACCGGGTTTAGGCACATGGAATTACTTAAAACTATAAAGATTATGACTGCTGCTATGATATATCACATGAATAATCAAGCTTGATTTTATTTGTAATTCATGGTCCTGACAATGTAAAACTTTGTATGTACTTAACATCACTCAAACGTTTAACTTAATTGTTTTTAGCAAGAAAGCTTTAAATTATAGTATCTAGAGGTAAAAGGCCGCTGAACTAGCCCAACCTGGACATTAGAAAGAAATAAGTGATGTTGCATATGTAATCTTAATTGGACTGTTGATATAAACTGGCACGGTGGTTGGATCAGCTGTGCACATCCCAGGCATCGGGTTAGAGTGTTGCAGTCACAGCTGGTGAGAATAGTCACAGAAAATGTGGTGTATCGTGGGCATCCGTGCTTGGTACACAGTGAGCCCAGACTTGCTCTCTGTTAGCTGCAATTTTCAATGTATGTGCCCAAGTAGTAGCTGAGGCCTCCTAACTTCTTAAGATGACCCTGGTGCTACTTGGAAAATTGCTTCCCTGTACATAGAATGCAGGTTGTTTCCTGTCTGTAATACTGTCTCCTGCAAATATGGGGAGTAGAATAATATGGTGTACACTTCTTAAAAATGCATTTTTTCTGGTTTTTTTTTTTTTTAATCATGTGGTCTTCATAACATCTGTCTGTTTAGGTTGTTCTCATTCCTCTATTGGCATTTTTTTAATAATGTGATTATTTTTCAGTCTGTTTTTATTTCATGTGTTTTAATACTGCACTCTTTAATTTATTATAGTTTTCAATGCCAGAAGAAGAAAGTCAAACTATAATGGCAGTTGATGAACTTCAAGCCATAATACAAAGATGCGTAAGTAGTTTTCTTTCCATAAAAGTAACAAGTGTAAGCAGTGTGCGTTTCTCTTCACATATTATAATTAAAACCAAAATGACCCCAAAACACAAGACAGTTGTTAGCAGAACTCCTCATTGGGCAGCTAAGTTCAGCCTCCATGTTTCATTGATTTTTCTGTGGTGCTTATCCCAAGATGCTTGATAACTTCTGCTTCTTGGAGAAAGAAGTGTTCTTGTACTCAACAGTACCTGTCTGAAGTAACAAAACCCTAGCAGGTTGTTGTAGAAAATACATCTTCCAAACAACATGCTGTAGTCTAGACTTAGAAAGTGCTATTGAAATACTGCTTTGTCTTCTGTAGTAGCTCTTGGTAGCTTTTTTTAATATGTGAAAGATGTTATATAAGAAAAGATGAGCTACAATGACGCTACATTTAAGTTTGAAATGAAAGCTTGTATTTTCTTTTTTTTTTATTTGCCTTTTATAAGTATGGAGTTAAACGTGCATATTTTCTCTCTAGCAAATTCTGGAAGAAGCTGATTTCAAAGGAGAAGATTTTAATCTGTTTCAGGTAGCAGGTCAGAAATGTTTAGAAGATGGGTATGCAGCTCAGTTATTAGAAGTAATTCAAAATGAGAAAAATAAGGTGAGTTTAAGTTTGCACTATATATTGGTTGTGCACTAACACGCCGTTAAGTAGATAAAACTGCTTATTAAAAAGGGAAGGCTACTTTCACTGTGGAGCAAGGCTGTACGTATGAATAGTTAGTAAGTTGCTCTGTGTTAATCATAGAATCACAGAATCATTGAGGTTGGAAAAGACCTCCAAGATCATCGAGTCCAACCGTC